AGATGGACTTAATCAGAGCTTAAAAGATCTACAAATCGGTTTAGAGTTCAGACTGGATTTAAAAGCAGAAGATTTGATGCCATTGAAAGAAGTTGGTGCAGGCAATGGAGGTACAGTGACGCAGGTCATGCACATTACCACGAAGACTGTGATGGCTAAGAAGGTATAACAAATTAGAGTTCGCATAACATATCGGGATCGAACGATTCTAATTAGAAAAACACGTTTAAAAATTTCACTATCAGATTATTCACATCGACGTTAATCCGACCGTTCGCAAACAAATTCAACGAGAACTCCAAGTTCTTCATGATTGTAATTCAAGATACATCGTCTCATTTTATGGAGCATTCACAAGTGACTCTGGTATTTCTATGTGTATGGAGTACATGGATGTTGGGTAAAGTTATATATGTATATGAATATCTACTCTGAAGATTTATTTAGCAAATTAAAATTTGCTATACATTTTATAGTTCACTTGATAATATTTATAAGAAAAATGGACCCATTCCTCTGGACATAATTGGCAAGATTACAATAGCGGTAAATTATTGAAATAAAGAATTTTCTATCAATATTTTACATTTATATAAGGCTCATAATTCGATTTTATTAAAAGGTTCTAGAAGGTCTTAACTATCTTTATGAGAGTCATCGAATTATTCACAGAGGTAATTTGAGAACAGCAATAAAAAAATTTGTTACCTTAAATTTACGCAACATTCTTTTGTTATGATCTTAGACGTGAAACCATCAAATATTCTTGTCAATTCAAAAGGACAAATCAAAATTTGTGATTTTGGAGTATCTGGTAAACTTATTAACTCAATAGCAGATACATTTGTAGGAACATCAAATTACATGTCTGTAAGTTGACACTAGAAACAATATTGATGTCGGAATTTTTCAATCACACCCAAATTTTAACAAATCCCATTGCATTAAATCCTATTAAAAATAAAAAAAAAATAAAAAAATAAAGTTTATGTTATTAATTCTATTCTTAAATGAATCCATAGCCTGAACGTATCCAAGGTGCCTCATACAGCGTACGATCGGATGTCTGGTCAGTCGGTATTACTTTGATGGAGTTGGCAATGGGTCGGTTTCCGTTTCCTCCAGATGGTAGTCAGCTTACTGTTTTGGAGCTTTTACAACACATTGTACATGAACCAGCACCAAAACTACCACAAGATCAATTCCCTGAAGACTTTTCTGATTTCATTAATCAGTGGTATGTGAAATATATATATGTATTATTTATATTTAAACATTACATGTATTCTAATCTTTCTATTATTCTTTAATAGTTTGTTGAAAGATGTAAAAATTCGGCCAGCACCTAACGATCTATTGGTGGGGAAAACATCCTTCCTTTTTTTTTTAAAAAAAAAAACATCAAAGAATCTACTAACAATTAATCATTAAAAAAAAAAAACAGAAACATCGATACGTTAAAGCTTCGGCTGAGGCCAATGTAGATGTTGAAGCTTGGGCGAAAAGTATCAGAAGATAGTATGTTATTGGAAGATATTTGTTGGAGAATGCTATTGTATGAAATGGACAAGAGAACAATATTAAGATGAAGTACTGATGTTGAAATACGGATTTATTTTATTCAGAACTACATCGTGTAAGTCCATTTCTAACGATATCATTAATTTACAGATGGAATTATGATTTTATAGCGATGGTAGATGAGATTGTCGGCCTTTTTATTTTGAGAATAGAGATGCCAATTTGTTTATTTGTTGATCGAAATGCGTTCTTTTACGAGAATGCTTTGTGAAATATTAAGATTTATTTTTCTGTGAATTATAATTATTTTTTTTTTACTAGATTATCGCTTATATTGCATGACTCATACACATGTTATCATTTAGAAATTATCGTGAATTAATATTTCTGAGAACCTATTGTGGTAAAGGCAATCTAATCTACAATAATTTGATTTTTTAAGCCATTATCATTTATACTGGCACAATCCTAAAGAGGAATTAAAAATGGGGAACGTATAACGATATAAATGTTAAGCCATGTTCAAATAAGTGATATATGCATAGAATTTGATTGGTTATATAAATAGACTGATCTCCTTATTGGTTTAATTCACGTGATCGAATACGGCTTTGGGATCAGAAAAAAAGTTACACTTGATGAATTCGAATTTAATTTTTGATGCATATCGCTTATCGTTATCGTTACATTGATATTATCTAGAATATAATTTATTCTGTGTGCTTAGCGGGCCCAATATACAAATTAGGAATTAAAAGCACGTGATTTGAATTGGCGTATTAAAATAGGTTGAAATCACTATTTATAGGATTTTAATTTACATAGGCTTTTTCCAAAGTCATGTTATCAAGTTCCGAAGTTACTCCAATTTATGACTCACTAAATTTAGCCTAATTAGTCCGTATGTTGATGCACAATATGCACAAAATGCACACCGAGGTAGATTTATTTGTTTTGTGGAGTGGAAGAACAAAGGGACTTGATGACATAAAGGAAAAGGTCTTGCATATTAACAGAATGAAGAATGTGTCAAGCTACTGAGAAGATAGAAGATAGGCTATTCTATGCAATATAATGCGATTTCTGGATGCATTGCATTGTTTTTTGTTTTTTTTTTTTTTACGTACGTACGTACGTACGTACGTCTATTCTAGTTTTTGATAATATTTGAATATAAATTCTTGTTTGTCGCTATTTGTAGAGACATGGAAGATCACCAAGACTTATTTTTGTCGACAATGCAATATAAATACATAAATTGGGAATGACTGACGTCAAATTGAATTAATTACAAGATTACGCCGATTTCCTTGAAAAGTTAGTGTTCCTTCAATCCATTTCATTTTGTGAACAAAGCATAAACACAACATTATTTTATTACATTGTGTTTTCTCTATATTCATCTATATATTTGATAATAAGGTGACACAATCGTTATGACTCGTTCCCATATTTTTTCTTTCTTTGTTAGGAATAAAGAAATTCTTGCATCTTAATCCGTGCTCGAGGATGTCAGCGTGGCAAAAGATAAGTTCGCCTTGCATGTGTACTTCTTGAGATAATCATATACGATAATGTGAATGTTGACAGGAAAGGTGGAGTTAGTTGACACACATACCACCAAGTTTTGCCATATTCGTAATCCTTACGTAAAGTGACATAAGCTAAACAAGATTTTTTTATTTGTAAACATTGCACAGCTCTCGTTTTGAAAAATGACCCAACGAAAAATACCCCAAAGTTCGACCAAAGGTGAAAGGTTCGGCGTGAGAGTACCTATACATTTATAGGAAAAGTCGACAAAAAGATGTTCAATGCACATCCACGTGGGATCTTCGATTGTAGCATTTATTCCCCTATTGGAAATGAATTTTTTAAAAATGAGGTTAGCGATTGGTTTTATAGGCTATCCCTTTCTTGTGGTGTCATTCTTTGTTTATCAATTTGGTTTCTTTTTTTCACTGCTTCTCTGCAACATGTTTTTTGGATAAGGTTCTAATGACACTTTACCGTACGAGACATATAAGTCCATCATTCCTTACTTGTCGAGAGTCTCTTAAATTTTCACACTGTAAAACAGTGAGGAAAAAAAAGCATGCCTAATAGCCTTTTTTTGATATGAATGTTTGTTACTTACATTTTGCGTATCCAAAATTTTGATTGAAACATATAATTATTGATCTACATGATATTCAAGTGGAGAGCAAATATGAGATTTGTGTTCCATTATTTCTTGCGTGATTTAGCCGATTTAGCCGCATTTATATGAAATTGGGAAACTGTAGCGAAGCTTTAAACAATAAACGATGAGAATTCCAACTTGTTACCGGGTAGTTTGCGATTAGAATGCATGCAATATCGATATGCTCTTAACTATTCTTAGACCCCTTCTTAATAGCCCCTTTTTTTTTAATTTACTACCGTATTAGCATAATATCGGGCCTTTTTTTTTTTTTTATAAAAGGCCACATCTTTTTTTTATTTATTAATTTAATACTCCGAAGGAACCGTTTTTCAATTCGAATACATTCGATTATAAAATCCCATTGTACTCGATAGCCTTTAGTCACAATCAATAAAATTTGATATTCAATACTTTTTTAAAGGTACAGATTATCTCATTCATACAAAGGTATCACCTCGGCTTTCTCGAATTCATTTATTTGTCATTTTATTTAGAAAAAGCCAAAAAAAACAAAACTTCTGACAATATATGAATGACAACAAAACTCTTTGAATGCTATATTAATATTGAATATACACTAAAGGATAACTAATAAATTGCAAGAAGGCTGATGTATTTTTTTGAGGTACGATGTCTAAATGCCTAATGATGACCATCACAATGCCAAATTCAGAGCTAAATAGGTATAATAGGCAAAAAAATGAAAAAGACTTTTTTCTGGCACCCTCAAAATTCACGGTTCCTCCCTTTTACCCCCAACGAGAAAAAACAAAAAAAAAAAAAAAAAAAAAATACTATTCAGGCGCCCCGAGAAGAGCCCCCCGTTTGCAATAAAAAAAAAGTCGGGACAAATAAGCTTTACCCTTCCCGCCCGTTTCAAATTCTCGCTCCCCAACTATATTTCCGTTCTTTATTTCTTTTTATTGTATAGCTCTTCCTTTGTTTTTCCTTTCATCCCTTTTTATTTTGCCGTATAATTTGCCCTCTTTCGAGGCGCCGTCTGGTATATTCAAATACATATTTATACTACATTTAACTTTTCTGCTTCATCACTTTTTAGAAACCCTTGCATTGATTTAGATTTTGTTGTTTTAGTAAAGTACTTTTGGACACTCACCCACTGCCGCGGACCTGCCCGGAGAATTATTTTTGTGCGCATAGAAAAAACAATATAACCCTTTGTCCTCTTGTGTATAAACATAAATATTATTTTTTCCTTATATATTACTTTCAATACTTGATAAATTATATGCGAACTTACTCCCATTTATCATAAACAACGTTGCTGGACGACATGCATATGCCTTATGGGACGCGAACCTTAAAAAATAATCAGAAAGCAAAGGTATTTCACAACTCATTATTTTAGTGCATCCCTAATTTCGTATACCATTACAAATCACATTACTTATTTTAAATCATTTATTCAATTTCTTCGGTAATGCTTTGATCGTTAGCTTGTCGCTGATTACCAAGATTTATTAAAAGAATTATCAACACAAGACATAAAGTCTGTGGGTAATTATATCCTAGAGGATACAATTGGTGAAGGTAAAAATGATATTAAATTTTTGTCTGATTTATTTTATCCCTTCTAAAAGTTAAAAAGTATCGTTAATTAATCAGGAACATATGGAAAAGTAAAACTAGCGACTCACAAATTGACTGGTCAAAAAGTACCGTTTTGTGTTTTTAGTTTACATCATTTTCTTACGAGTTCATTTATAAGTAATTTTTTTTTAATTAGGTCGCCATAAAAATAATACCTAAAATTCACGCGGAAAATCTAACGAGAGAGATACATCATCATCGATATTTACATCATCCTAATATCATTTCCTTATTCGAAGTTATACCAACTGAAAACAAAATTTATATGGTATTAGAATATTGTGAAGGGGGTGAATTATTTGATTTTTTAGTTAATCGAAAACGCCTAAAAGAAAATCTAGCCAGAAAAATGTTTGGACAATTATGTCGGGCAGTTAAATATTGTCATGACAGAAGAGTGGTTCATAGGTAAAGCTCAGGAAATAAAAGAAATGGGACCCTAGTTTTATTAATCTGCTCTTAAAACAATGTCTTAATTTCTGTTTTCGTTATGGAATATTATTACTATGATGTACTCTGTAGGGATCTTAAACTAGAAAACATTCTTCTCGATGCTCATAAAAATATAAAATTAGGTGATTTTGGCTTTACAAGAGAATATGAAAGTAAAAAATTATTAGAGACGATATGTGGTTCAACAGGTTATTCCGCTCCAGGCATGTATGTTTTTTTACGGTCAATTTCGGGGTATTATTTATTATGGTTAATGAAAATTTCCACGTATAGAAATAGATAAATATGAGCATATGAATTACAATCATTATAAGATCTAATTTTCGATAATGATGTATATAATTCATTACACATTAATTAATTATTTACTTTTTTGATATTTTAGAAATGCTCATCGGTAAAAAATATTCTGGTCTAGGTAAAGAAATTTTTTAATGCTAGTAACTTATATTGATTAATAAGATTAAGTTAATGATTCAATTCTCTGATTGTAGAAATCGACATATGGTCGTTGGGGGTTATTCTATATACGCTGCTCTGTGGCTCACTTCCTTTTGATGATGATGATGAGAATGAAATGAAACTAAAAATAATGAAAGGCGAATATGAAATGGGTGAATTTTTATCAGATGGTAATAATATTTGTTCATTTATTTATTATTTTTTATCTTTTTAGTTTTTTTTATTTATTTATTTATTTTAATTTTAATATTATTTATTATTTATATATATCTATATTAATCGTTATTTGCACATCACAATACTTTTCGTATAATTATAAATATCAGAGGCTAAAGATCTCATACAATCAATATTACAACTTGATCCAAAAGAACGACCAACGTTAAAACAGATTCTACAACATGCATGGTTTACGATAAAAGATGACGACGATGATGAAGAAGATGATGATGATGACGACCAGTGGGATACATATGAAGAAGTTGCCGATGACGAATCCATATCCTCTCTAGAAGAGAAAAATGAAAAGGAACCTATGAAACAAGCAACGATAATACGATCGGGAAATAATAATGACGCAATGAGTCATCTTGAACGACAGCGGCAGGAAATTTTTTTAGCGACGAAAAAACAAAATATACAAAACTATTATCCAAATGGATTTACTCGTAAAGGTAATGACATCGCGCCTTCTGCATTTCAAACGCGATTGGCAGGAATGGCAACTGCGATAGATAGTGGTTCTACTAGTGCTTCTACAACTCGGAAAACTTTGGGACCTTCAACTTCAAAGTCATCTAGAAGGTCTTCGATTGATAGTAAGACTTTTAATGAAAAAATATTTTTTACAACTCCTGAAGAAAAAGAACTATTAGAAAAACTTGAAGGTTTAGGTTTTGATGTTCAAGCCATAAAAAATAGTGTTCTGGAAGGTAATGTGGACTCTGCGAGTGGACTTTGGTGGCTTTTATTAACGAAACTAAGAGAAAAAAGGAAGATTGAAGGTGCTCAAAGTTCAGTGACAATGGTGGACGTTGCTGTTGGTACTAGTGGGGATGAGTTAGAAATTGCAGATGATATTGAGGAGGAACCTGATAGTATGGACTCACCTGTCGATAGTAATAGGTCATCTCAAGATGATGATTATGATGGAAAGATAGCTATAAATTCCATGAAAGTTCCGGAAAAGATGCTACCACCTACACCACCACCGAAAACTTATCACACAGCTCCAGCTTCACGCGAAAGACGAAAATCTTTGATCCTTTCACTGCCAGAGGCGGTTGAACCTGTTTTGACAACTATTACTGCTACAGCATCACCACCACTGTCACCTAAAAAATATTCATCTTTTACTAGTCCATTAAGTTCACGGTCAGTAAGCCCTATACCACATATATCTGTCACTCCAATAACAATACAGCTACCTAACAATAAAGATAATAGAAAGAAAAGTATATTATCGACAATTAAGGGATGGTTGGGTGGTTCTAGTCAGCAGCAGAATAATAAAGATTTGAATAGCCCTTATAAAAAAAGCGTGCTGAACTTGACTGAAAGTGGAGTTTTGGTTCCTGCTGATGTCGCACGTTCACGAACGCGTCTTAACAAAAGGAATGATAGTAAAACACCATTATCATATGATAGTGCTAGTAACTATAACATTCGAAGAAGATCATCTTCGATATCTCGTGGTGGGTCAATAAGAGACAAGAAAAAGAAGAATCGAAATTCTTTTCAGGGTAACAAAAGTCGTCGTTCAAGTACTGCACCTTTGTCTATTCCTCCTGTTACACCTTCTGTTGTTCTTTCAAATAATTCCCCAATGGGTATGTCACCTATCCCCGGGACACCACCAGCGGTTAGGCATAAAACCATGTTTACCATTAATCGTAGAAACCCATTTGCTTATAATACAGGAAATTCATGGGGACGTAAACAAGTAAAACGACGGAGTACTGGAGGAAGCTCAATTAGCAGCATACAGGAAAATTTTGAAGCTGATGTCGGATCAGGATCAGGCTCATCTGAGAATGCTAATAATCATCAAGATAAGGACACTTTTGAAACAAGTGCGATAGAGAACATTACTGATGATATTGTAAAAAATGATACGTTAACTATAGATGGACAGACAATAATAGTAGAATCTTCAAAATCAAAAACAATTACGTTAGCATCACCGCCACCTACACCACCACCACTCATACAGAATAACAACTCTGAACCGTCGATATCTAAGCAGAAGAAAATAGATGTACAAAAAGTAGATGAGTCGTCACATAAAATAAAAGAGGATGTGACCTCCAGTGATGACGGTGAGGAATCTGATATATTTATTGATGCTTCAAGTGAAATTGCATCTCACCCACGATCCCGTACGCCATCACCATCACATTTTGCTGCTGCATCCCCTTTATCTAATGATTCACCTATACTTAAACCCTACGGAACTATCATAAATCCACTCACTTTTCCTTATACCCTATTCCATAATTCCAATTTAACTTCTATAATATCATCGACACCAGTCTCCCCACCTTTATCTCCAGCGGATAGCAATGCCGAAGTTTCACCTACATTACCAAAAAAAGGTCACCAACGTCTTAACTCATTACCTACTACGCTGAATTCAAGATCAGGAGGGAAACAGAGAGACGTTTACATTTCACCTATTGAAAAGACGCAGGTTCCTGCACAATTAATGATGGATTTTGTGTCCACGCCACCAGACTCACCAAAATTGCCATCACCAATAATAACGTCTTCCTTATCATCGACAGCACCACATCCGCACACAAACAGATCTTCACAGTTGCGCCACCATCATAACCGTTCACATTCTTCCCCAATTATTGGAAACAATATAAATAATAGCAAGACGGAGGATATTACTTCGCATAATGAAACATCCGAGAAAGATTCTCCGCCCTCGCCGCCAAATGGGCTCAATAATGCGAAGCTACTGTTTAAACATAATAATAATAATAATAATACCACAAATTCACGGCGAAGTTATGTGAGTTCAAGTAGCCCTCTAAGCAATCCACGGAGACCAAATATAATGAAACCTTCAGTGATCGTGGAGGAAGAGGAAGAAGAGTGATGACAGTAATGTTAAAAATTTGGTGTACTGACATCTAATGGACTATGTTTATTTTTTCCTATCTGCGTCTTGAATAATTTGTTAAAAAGGTGCGGTTGAATTGTATTTCTAATTTTATTTGTCACTAGAGTATTATTTTTGCGTTTATTGCTTATTTATTTCTTTAAACCTAAAATTGCTTATTGTGTACAAAAATTCACACTTTGATATTAAAAAGTATTATATAGTTTTTTTTTTTTTTTTTTTTGTGAAGTCAATTAATTATTAGCAAATTTTTTTTTTCCTTTAAACGCATATTCTCAAAAAAAAAAAAAAAAAAAAAAAAAACCACTATTCCTAATGTTATTTTAAAAATTTAGTTGATTCTCATTTTTCCTACAACCGATATACTTTTATTTCATGCATATATGTGTTCTTTTCGTTAGAACGTAAAAAAAAATTCCGAAATATTTCCACCAATTTTTGAGTATTGAAGAAATCATTATGAAAAAAAAAAATATAAAAATATATATATCATTTTGCAAAAAAATTATAATTCCAAATAATGCATGTAAAAAAAAAGTTTCTTTTTTGAGCAAAAGATTTACTTGTACTGAGGTTTGAAAAAGATCTGTCTCTAAACTAGTACTGATTATTCAGTTTTCGGTCTTGAGACTAGAGTTTGGACTTCTACTGGACTTCATATTATATATTTAAAAAAATGGCTAAGTTACATGTCGTTCACCACAAACTTATCATTCTAGATTACGATTTTTTTTTTTTATTATATACTAAGAATAACAGCGATAATCAGTATTGAAACGCATGTAAATAATTAAATAATCTCCTCAAGCGTAATATCTTTGACTATAGTTTCTAAAGCTTTAAAATTTGACGAATTAATTTTAACCAAAGATTTAGAATAGGTTTATTTCGTGATGGCATTCATATGTTGAAAAATGTCGTCATATGATACATTTTATTTATGAGCTAATTCGATCATACGATTTTACTAACCATTACTTTTCGGCGACTGGGAAGTGGACTAATCCATCCCCCATTGTGTAGTGATGTAAGACTGTTAATTTTATTGTGATTGGAAGATCAGAGATTACAAACAGTTTTTAAAGTTTTTAAAAAAGTATAGGCTCAAGATTTTACTTATCTAATTCTATTTACGCCTTGCATTTAAGTATTTTATCATACCCGAAATCATCCGTGATATTGATAAGAAAAGAAAGAAACCTTATCTGATATCGATTCGTTATATATAAATGAATTAACTTTTCCTTTCTTCACTTCCCCGCTTACGTACGACAAAGGAATCTGATAACGGATCAGATATCCCTTTTTGAGTTATCAGATTTTAACACATGAATACGTAATACAAAATTTATGATTAGTCAGAGTTCATAACGATAAAGTTTTAATTATGTTACTAATTTAACCAATTTAGGATGACTTTTATCAGATTTTTTTTCTTTTAAATGATGGACTTGGTTTTTCCACATTACCATTAATTAATTCAAAAGCAAAATAATGTCTTCAAATCCATCTTATGCATCAGAAAATAATCGTCATTTTTCTACGAATGAGCAAGGATACACTGCTTTACCTGTTCTCTCATCAATAGATTCGGCTGACAGTGTTCACAGACTTGAAAGTAATGAGGAGAGTAATTCATTACTTAATGACGACGACGATAAGTTTGATATCACAGAGGAAGAGCTCAATCGACCATGGAAATATAAAATCTTTGCATTAGTGTGCGCCTTAACTTTGTCTGGTACGTACCGACGTTCGGGGTTAATAATATGTCAACCATAATTTTATTTTAATATTTTGGCCTAATGTAGTTGGAAGTCACTATGCTGCTCATACATTATCAGCTTTGAAATCGGAAGTTAAAGATGTAATTCATCTCCTGATCTTTCGTTTTTCCAATTAATTTTTATAATTGAAATTACTTATATAATTTTAGAAATTAGGCATCACAAATTCTCAATATGGAATAATACAGTCTTCCGTGTCGCTAGTTAACACAATCTTACCAATCCTTGGTGGTGTCTTTATTGATACATTTGGAACATCAATCGGGTCAATCTTGGCCACATCACTCATTGCTGTGGGAAATATTTTAGTAGCATTATCCACTAATTTGGCATCATTTCCTGTGATGGTGTTCGGTAGAATATTTTATGGAATCGGAAGTGGAACTATTGTCACTGTTCAAACTACTATTCTTAGTCACTGGTTTAAAGGGAAAGGATTGTCGATAGCAGTTGGAATACAAATTGCTACGTCAAGACTGGTAAGAATGTTTATCAATGCTATGAAAATTTGTAGCTAACTTATTTTTAATATAATTATCAATTTTTTATTTCACCCAAAAGTCGTCATTCTTGGGAAATTTGACTGTTGTTCCAATATGGAAAGGTACTGGATTTTATGGTTGGGCATTTTGGGTAAAAAAAAAAAAAATTTTTTTTTTTTTGATATTTATGGACGTCTTTTTCGATTCCTACTATATTATATTAATCAATATTTTATATCTTAGTTTGCAGCATTTCTATGTGTGGTTTCCTTAGTGATCAATATATTTTATATATTTGTTATGAAGATAATTAATGAAAATCTCTCAGAGCAAGAACTCCAAAAACTTAAACAAAAAAAGTCATTTAATCCTAGAAAACTATTATATCTGCCAGTAATTTATTGGATTTTTGTATTGCTTGAATTTGAATTTGGCAGTTCCTGGACTTCATTTTTACATGTACACGCGTATGTATTTTTCACTTTTGGGCGTGTTTACCTCAAGTGACAGCTAATGCATCTCAGGTGTTTATTATTTGCCTGGCATTATAAAGTGGCCCTAATTCTAACTATATAATTTTGGCCAGTTGACGTCTGAATATAGCTGCGGCTATTGGTCACTGCGTGCATAGTATCTATATAATTAATTTTATACAATTTAACAATTAATTTTTATCATTTATAATCAGTGAATTGTTAAAAACCCGTTGGGGTATTTCGGATGATGAGGCTGCTTTTCGTTCAAGTTTTGCTCAATTTTCACCAATATTCATAGCCCCTTTTCTTGGCTATCTTTTGGACAGATACGGTAGACGTTCCACCACATGTAGGTCACGCGCTGTCCAATGTTCTTTCCTTGTCTTGATTATTCAGCTTCTAACTTATTTATTTCATCAATCATATAATTTATATTTATTGAATAATTAGTGATAGCTTCTGCGAGTTTCCTGGTTCTTTCAATGTATCTTATTGGATTTACTATGATATCTCCAATTATAGGAATGTTGTTATTTTCAATATCTCTTTCATTCGGACCGGTATCCTTACTTTCATCAATTCCAATTATACTACCATTAGATTATGTTGGTACAGGATTGGGAATTATAAAATCTTGTTCAAATATTGGTTCAACTTTATTTGACATTATTGTCGGTATATTGCAAGATTTAGATGGTGGTGAATACAGACTGGTTATGCATTTGTATTTCGTTACCAGTCTTATTGCTGTTCTCGTTGCTGTATGGTTGTCATTTGTAAGCAAATGGCATGATGGAATAGTAGACATGAAAGAAGACGAAAGAAGTAAATATTATGAGGAGATACGAACAAAACATGATCAACAAGGGCAGGAAAGACGTAGCAGCTATGATAGTCAAGATATGCACACGAAGGTTACATATCCATCAAGGCGAAATTGGGGTTATGTTACAACTTTCTTTATGGTTTTAATTTTAAGTTGGATTTTGTTCTTTATTTTTGTAATTTTTTAAAGTATTTGATATTGTGATCATCGTAATTCGGTGTAGAACATTTGCGGTATTTGATTTTCAGAAAGATTAGATGATAGAATACTTGGGTTCCTTTATCACAATTTTATAGATTTGATTTCATCGCGTATAGATTAATAAATTATTCCCTGAAAATTGATTAATTTCATCCTTTAACGATTTGGTGTTAGTATCGACGCATTGGTTCATGTGTACATTATCATTTTCAGAAGAATTATCTAAATTACCTATAGTACTATTTTGCAATTGATTCTGTTCCAATTTGCAAATTGCTTTTCATTTTCTTTTGCTGAGCATTCTAGTTCCATGATTCTAGCATTGAGCTCAGTATCTCTTAATTTCGCTCTCTCAGCATTTTCTTCTATAATCCGTTTTAGTTCAGCTTCAAGCGCATTTTTTCTTTTACTATTTTTTCTAATTCTGCGATTCTGGCCAAAAGCCTAGCATTTTCCAGTTTTAATGAATCAACTTCGGTAGTCTTTAGATGAGACAAAGTCTCGAGGTTCTACCACTTCATTTTTTTGAGTTTGCATATTTAACATTAATTTATATAACTTTGACACGAATGTTTGGAAAAATATTTTTACTGTACACGTCTTGAGGTGTTTTTGTTATTTAATACCTTTAATTTCAATTAAAAAATATGTATGCGCGAAGAATTCTTCACGCTGATCACTGTTGCCAAGTAAAATTTTAAAAATTCTCGATCATATACACATGTTATCAATAGCAATATAAAAAAAATAAACTGATTATTTATGTAAAATATGCAGTTTTATTGATACAAAGTTTCAGTCCAGTGTTAATTTTTTGAAAAAATAATCCGAATTATTTTGCTAATCTTGATTTAGGATACTTTATCAATAAATAAGATACGTTAGATTAAAATAAAAATAATGAGCATTTGTTGGTTGGTTATCCAGGTCACACCACGTGGAGGTCAATGCCCGAGTAACCCATGTACCACACTTTGGTGGATTTGGAATTAAGGAGAAACAGAAAAGGTTATATATACAAGAAACTTAGAATATGTTCCTCTTGACATTAAAAGAAAATTTATAGACGAAAGTAAGTAAAAACTCCCCTTTGACTATTCATTATCATGTTAAGAACATAGAGAAAATTTGCCCTATTTTACTGCAGCAGGGGTGAATGATTCCATATAGGGAACTATTATGATATGTGTACCAATAGTAATAGCTTCTTCAATTTCATGAGAGTATCTATGCATGATGGTTTCATGTATGAAGATAATGGTATTAATTAAAAATTTTAATTCAACAACATATAATATTTTGAGCATATACAATAGTATTTATAATAATATGAAATAATTAAATTATTTATTAAAGCATGGTTTGAATAGTTTTTATATTAAATTACAAAAATAATCCTGTTGACTTGGCAGATTATATTTCTACTCTTGTCACCTGGTCTACTATAAAATAAATAATAAATTGTGAGTGTTTGTGTCATTATCAATCAACAAAGAAACATGACCAGAATAGTTTACAGTTCATGATTTAATATTAGAGTATATCTTATTCACCAATCTTCTAGTTGTATATTTTTTAATAATACAAAAAGTATTTCTCTAATGCAAAGAGGGCTTGGTTTTACAGAAATATTTATAACTAATAGAGAAGAATATTCAATTATTAAAATAGTTGGCTATAAAGTGCTTTCAATTTCCTATTAGATTTTATTATATTAATATAGCAGTATAATTTCAGATATACTATAATTCAACAAATTTTTTTTTTTTTTTTTTAAAGCAATCATAATACAACTTTATTACTTAAATTTAGACAGAGCAATTCATATGAGCAAAATTACAATTAAATATCCAATTTATGACCAATTCTGCTTTATACTAAAGTGTAATTTATCTGATTTCTAATTGAATCTATATACGACTTGCCAAGAGCAGAAGTAGCTAGTAATATTAGTCAATTTAGCATTAGTCAACTTAGTCGACTTAGCTAGCTAAGTTAGCCAATTTTTTAAAAAACCAGCTTAGTCAGCTTCAAATATAGAAATAGCAATTATTTTAGCAATAATACAAAATTACAAATTTTAACATATAAGTATATAAGCTTAAATTTAGAGTTAAATAATTTGTTAATTAGAATTTTTCTAAAACATAATAATCAAATTGATCTTGATTTATCAATACAAAAAGCCACACTTTTAAACTATTTAACAAGTACATGTATATAATATATAGCCTTATTTAGATATATAACTAGATATATTTAATTAATATTCATCATAATGTTTTTTAATTAGAAAAATTATATATTTAAAAAAAAATTTTACTAAGATTTAAAGTAAATTTTCATGTACCCAGCCCACTATCCCTTAAACTGTAGATTTTGTATAACAATTTTAACTTAAAAATAGCATAAATTTAGTTATGATTTATTTTTTTTAATATTTAAAATATTTAAA